ATATATATATATATATATATATGTCGTAGAAACAAACCAAATGGTTATTGGCACATAATGTTCCCTTTTTTTTAGCACTTTCATGCACTTCTTTTTTGAAGCAGTGAATAGTTTAAACCGAATTCGACACAAAGGAGCGCAGGCGAGGGAAGGAAGAGGAAAATTGGAGGGAAGGGATTGGTAGGGGAAGTTCATAAAACATGCGTGTTGTGCCCCTGGCTCCATAACCTTATAACTTTTGATATTTGTCAAGAATAGTTGGGTTTCATGCCTTTATCGCTCTTTTCCGCACCTTTGTTGTGCAGTCCAGTTCTTTTAAATGTTAAAGAATTTTGAATTTTTCGCATTCTTAGTTGTTTCTTTTTCAGGACCATTAGCATCTGCCCCTAACATAATCCATACACCGCATTGCTCATGGTACTCGGATGCCTCATGTAAAGAGTTACGAACATCGGCAGCACGTGAAGTTCGACGAGCAATCATTGGCAGGTGCCCGCAGGATCTCAGTAACTGTGTCAATAAGGAGGCCATTCTTGCTGGACATACGCGGAGGCCAACGTCATCCGCATCCGTTTCGGCTAATGTTTCGAGCTCCTTCAACCCGCTTATGCCATCATTTGGAACTTCCATTGCTGAAGGTCTCATTTCTCGCTTCTGTTTTAGAAAAAGTCAAATTGCAACAATTTTGCAAAAAAAAAACAAATTTTCGCTGGAATTTGTATAAATAAAGCGGTGGTGGCACATCAGTTAGGCTGTAAACTCATACCTCACATGCAACTAAGTCAGAATGAAAGTTGTGCAGTTTTAGAAGTTGCTATTGGATATTGAGAAATTTACTCGCTCTTCTTAAGCTGCTAATAATAGCCGCTGCTGCTACCTTCCGAAACATTCTCTTTCCTGTGTTTTGTGCCAGGGCAGATCTCCTTCAAGGCCTATTATTCCTTCACATTTTATTAAACTTTCCTAAAGAATTAATCAGTTTGCCTATTCTGGAAACGTGGGAAAATTGAAAAATAAAAAGAAAGGACATCCTTTAAAGACGTTTTGTTTCCCCTCGTGCACTTTATTTCGCCCATATTCTCCCACAAACCGCGCCCTTACAAATGTTCGCCCTTCATTCCGTTCAGTTAATTTTCATTTTCCATTTGACCTACTCTGTATATCAGATGTCAATAATTTTCACGACAAATCTATCATGGATGCTTATCATCAGTCAGTCAGTCAGTCAGCCAAGTAGTGTTCATTGCAGGATTCAACGGTTTACAAGTTGGCGGAAATTTGCCTTCATTTCCCTACTCGAATCCACTGCTCGCGATGGGTAATCCGCTGCTCAATCCGTTGATGATGAATCCGAGTACAGCAGCGCTGGCCACTTTTGCGAATGCAGCTGCTGCGAACACACCGCATGCTGCCCCTTCCGCTGCACTTTCATCGTTAGCCGCTGCATCCTCAGCAATGGCCACCAGTAGTGCGCCAGCTGCCCCAGTTGCCAGGCAATCACCAGCTGTTCAGATGTCGCATTCGCCAAAAGTGAGTAAGCACGTTATTTTTGTTTCTTTTTTTTTTGAAAAGTGGAAGTCCCTTTTTTTTTCTCTCTCCCCTCCCCCCTTCCACTTCCTTTGGGTTTTTACTAGAACTAGCTACATAGGACTGAGATTTACTACGTGTGGGAATATTTGGAACTGCTAGCTCTCCAACCCGTTCAATTTATAGTAATGTATCCTCTACTTTCACACATCTTTATCAGACAAAAAATCAAAACTTTTTAAGAGGGCGCAAGCAATTGCAAATAGCTTGAGTGATAGTACATACCAGCGGTAACTAACCCCACAGGCAAGGCTGTCGAGAGCACTCTCTGAGTTGCTTGAAAACAAACTGATTGTGACATTTCTTTATTTCTTTGTGAAAAATCATTTTACATTTTTTTGTAATGAAGGAGAGCTAAATTGCGGAGGTGTTTTTGCAGGAAAACAGCAGCTACCATTGTACTGGTATCGGAATATAACCAAAATGAGTAAAATTAGCAGCGACTTCACTGCCCGATTAAAACAACTAATGTGTGTAATGTTTGCTAGCAGTAATTTCGACAGCTAAGCTGATTGTAGCATACAAGTAATGTTAAGAAATTTAAAGGTCCTAAATTCCCTAAAAATTCCCGAATTTGCTCTTCACCCCATTTCTCCGTTCAAGCTCACATTTTTAAGCAGTTTTGCAATGTTGGCTCCCTTCGAAAGCTGCTGAAGATTAGCCCAAGTGCATCTCGTGCTAAACCTACTCAACAGCGGTAGGTTTTTTTGCTCTTAAAACGCTTGTAGCCGGTCTCAAGGGTATCAATTTCTTTGGTTTACAACGTAGAACCGGGAAATTGGGACTGTTTTGGAGTGACACTTGTCAGGGCCTGGATCGTGTCCTTTTCACATGCGTTTTGTTTGTTAGTGGACGCAAGCGGTATTCATTTTCGGTTTAGGCAAACAACAGCAATCATGCCACTGTGTCACCAGCAATACGATCAACATCTTCACCTGATGGTTCAGCTGATTTGAAAGACGGAACTCCACCAACACAGCAGCAGCAGGTCAATTCACAGCCTCATCTGAACACCACCTCATCAGCTGCTGCCTCACCATGTAAAAGTCCAGCACCGTCTAATCTACCTAAGGTTATTTTTTTTTTTTTTTTCGTTATTTTGCCTCTTTTTTCTTTTTTGAAAGAAAGGCAGTGGAGGGTCGTGACATTAGGCCGATTTTCTCCATCCCTTACGCTGTTTTGCTTATACTGCTGATTTTATTCGCATTAAATTATGAACCATTGTTCTCGGGACTGTGATGGGCCAGTAATTTTCATCCAGAGATATTCGCTACGTTCACCGCATACAGCGTAGCTTCCATTGTCAGTTCCGCATGACCTGTCGCATCTTTTAGACCGGCCAAGCCGAGTTTTGATAATAGCCCACACTCACTGAAGTAATCCACTAACCCAGGATATCTCAAGCACGGAGAGTGGAAATCTGGACTGGCTGCTGTTCGGACAATTTCGTTAATACGGTGGACACAGTCAATGGCTCGATGAAAGATTTCGAGCAACAGGGGTTTCGATTTGGGTGTTCTTGTTTCATTAAAACTCGGCTACACGTGCATATTATCATTGGTTTATGGATTGAGAACTGAATGAGTACGATCACTGCGGTCGTTTGGGGTTTATGATTTTGAAACTGAGGATGTGTTGACTGCTGCATGCGTAAATTTACTTTTGCGTTTGCTTCCATATGTACAAACCAGCCGTCTGTCATGAGCCAAAAAACGGTGCGTATCAGACAACGGTTAATAGCCGTTGTCTGATACACACCGTTGTTCAATAAAAATTTGATGACTCCCGGGTTCACTTTTTTCCGTTTCATGTTTTCTCAGAATGATCTAGCAAATCTTGAGTGCCCGCTTCATTTTTATGCGTTTTTGCATATATGTAAATTGCAAAAACGCATATTGGGAAGAGGCTGTGTGTGTGTATGTGTGTGTGTGTGTGCGTGCGTGCGTGTGTGTGTGTGTGTCTGTGTGTTCGCACTTTTTGTCACCCACTTTCAACTCGAGAC